GAGGACAACAGAGCTGCTTCATGGAAGAAGAACCTCAGCTTAGGCGCATATAGTGGCAACCCGCGACCATGGAGATATAAACAGCTTTTTATAAGGTAAAAATAATAAAACAAGGTCTTTGTCTGCAATGATTAGACATGTTTTTTATTATTGTCATTAGTGATTATCTCAAATTCGGCTAAAAGAATTGACAAAATCCTACACACTGTGCCCTTAAAATGTCTTAAATCAGTTTTTCAGAGGTCTTTAAAATGTTAACACATTGTCAGTAAGATGATGTAATTCAGCTCAAGTAAGATTGGGCATAATCGTATCGTGTGCGATTAATCGTCAGAAAAACAATCGATTACTTTTTGGCACTTGACGATTAATACAATTAATGCCACCAGGCAGACTGACTGGGGATTACTCCGTTTAGTCTGCTCGATGCTCTTCTGCGCTTCAAGTATAACAAACATTAAAAATAAAGTTATGTAATTTATTTATCTATCAACACAATTTAAAATATGATGTACAACCTGAAATCTGTAATTTTCACACAATTTGGAACAATTTTTTACAAAGATCAAATCTTTCCCACTAAATTGGTCATGTCACTACAAAATAAGGGTGTCCAGGGACTCCAGGGGATTAATCGTCAAATTAATCGTTATCAGCTAAATACCACAATTAATCGTGATTCATTTTTTTGCCAATATTGCCCAACCCTAATCTCAAGTATTAAATTAATTGGTAAGATTGATTTATTTTTAAAAAAACGTACAGAATGTCGCTCACTGCTAGATGTTTTTTGTTAAAATAAGCATTTGAGTAAAATTCTTGCTGACTGTTTTTTTTTTTTTTTCATTTTGTGTTTATTGTGACGGTCTGAAATTTCATTTAAAGTGGAATTAAAAAGTCTCAGCTCTAACTTGCATTAAGCTGTAAAATGTTGCTGCGTGTTTCTGCAAATGTTTCATGTACAGACAGTGATCCCTGTAAAACTAGGCTGTGTGTGTCTCCCTGCCTCCAGGCTACGCCATGATTCGCTACAGCAACTTGGGATCGGCCATGTACGCCAAGGAGAAGCTGAATGGCTTTGAGTACCCACCTGGAAACAGACTCCAGGTGTTTTTCCATGACGATGGAGAAAGGTGTGTTTCTGCCACACAACAATCAGAACATTACAGGTTAATGAAGGTGTTTAAAGCTTGTGTAGATATTACAAACTAAATTTTCCCTGATGTGAACTAGGGCTGTGTATTGGCAAGAATGTGGCGATACGATACATATCATGACAGAGGGGTCACGATACGATATATCCCGATATATTGCGATACTGTAAGCAAGGC